GGCGGGGGGGGGGGGGGGGGGGATGCAATCTATGAGCAACACCCGGTATATGCATACGTACGAAGTAATGAACAAGTGTCTAGAACAAAATCTCTTAATGGAATGAACCCGGAACCCCAATGAGGAAAAATTTTCCCCCTACTTTGCTCTTTACGCCTTCCTGCGATGTCAAAGACTGTCTTAACATGTTACATAACTTAATTTCAAGGCATAACACATACTCTCCTACATGTCCTTCGCACTCGTTAACGGTCGGGTAGCCTTAACTTTGAGTCTTCCTCACAAACCCTAAAGCCACCCGAAACATGTTTAGGAAAAAGCCTTGCATTCTCATGAATTTAAGCTTGTGAATCTCACAGAATGAGGAAGGCCTCTGCAAGCCGGTCATTTTCAATTATCGCAATTAGCGCGTGGTTTTCAGTACTTGACCATTTCAAATTCAATGTAATGAGGCGAAAGATAATTGAAAAATGTCAGTTGGCGTGTTTGACTGAACGAAGACTGAACTCTACAATGCCTGGTGAATTATTATCGAAAAATAGGTGCTCTCGACTGAGAATGACAGTTCTCAATAGGATTAAACGATATGCACACGATATAAGACAATTTTGGTTCTACTGCATATGGACAAAAGGGGCCGAAAAAGAATTCAACAGTTTTGCGTATTCACCCCCTAAGATTGATCTGAATGTGAAACTTAAGTATCACAAACTCTCCAAACAATTCACTCGTATAGGTCAGAGCTTGTATTGCACTGTGAAAGTCCTTTCCTATTGTTCAAAATTCGTATTTTTTTAAGATTCGCTTTCGAGGATGGGACTCAAATTGAAGTATGAATTTCTAGGAAATCGACTACCATACAACACTTGACGAAAGGGTGAGGAGCTTCGTTTCAATTACTCTGGTCGGCAAACCAAAAAAATTTCGGAATGCTGCAAGACTACTTTATTCGTGCTAACCACGAGAAGGGGGTCAGAAAATACGATTCTCAAAATGTCGAGGGGTTCAATGGCAACAGACGCTCCATTCCACAGCAATATTTCCTTCGTGATGAAGTCCATCCGTGTCACCTAAATATGAATGGATGTCAAAGTCGGAAAGGTTTCAAATGCAGCAGATGATTTAAATGTGGATCTCACCGGCCCAAGGGGGAAAGTGGTCAGGGCGAGGAATTGAAGGCGGCTTCCTTCCGCTGGCAGGGACGGGTGTGGCGGGGTGGAAATCGGAGGATGAGGCTGCCGAGTCGTACTCTTCCTTTGTGATTACGAACCAGAGGGTCCCGTCTTTGGAGCTCAGGTAGGATCGCCTTTCGCTGTCTCTTGCCAATATCCGACCGAAGGATTCATCGTATCCGAGGAGCTCGTTCACGTACAAAGGCAGAGCTGTACGAATGCAAGAGGATTCTCATAACCGAGTATCCGGGATCTCCAACCATTACTTTTCCGCTCGGCTTGCCTCTCCAGGTCCTTCCGTCGCCCGTGAAGCACATCGTCGAACGCCTCCTCGAAAAAACGTCACAGAAGAAGACGGAGCCAGTTCCCTTGTGCTCGACGTAGTGCTTCCAGGACCCGGTATCAGTCATTTGAGTGGGTGGTGGCGGGTATTCGCATCCATCGGGAATGTCGAACGACAGGGGACATCCATAGAATTCCAACCTAGTTTTAAAAAATCTCCCATAGTCAACAATTATCGCAAATGGCTTGTCCTTCTTATGGCTATCTCTTTCAAGCTGATAATTCATTTTTCGTTCACAGACTCTCCTTCTACATGCCGTATCAGTCATGAAGCACTGAACAATTGTAACTCTAGGAGCTATCCTGTAGTTATCATGCTTGCGATTGCCTTCACAGTCTCGCCTGACCAGAAATCTCAGAAATCTTGAACTCACTGAACACCAATTTGAACGTTCTCTTTTTCTTCCGGACGAGACGCAGAAACGATGATCAATCTGATCGCTCGAGCTTCGAGAGGGGTTTTCAATTCGTACCGGCTCGATACCGCGAAGCTTCCCTGGAAGAGAAAGAAGCGGGGAATGCCCAGTCCTCGCCTGGCATCGGTGGCCGCAGGGGACTCACGTTTTCGTGGTCGGTGAAGGTCTTGAGGTCGCGGCTCTTCTGGAGGGTGAAATTCTCGATCGTCCTGAATCGTGCGTACAGGTGCTTTTCTATTTCCACTCCCGTCACTCGGGTGAAGTTGCCGAAATTCACTTGAAGATACGGTTGGGTGTTGTCTTCCGGAACAATGCCAGGGGACCAAACTGTGAGAATGAAGAAAAAGTTAGCCTTTCTCGATCTTCACAAGATCCGAAATGAATTTATCATGAACCGTTGAACAACGGCCATCAAGCTCGGAATAGAAACAAATATTAGATCTAATTTTATTTATTTGTATTCAAGCCATGTCTCAAGGCGAAAAGCAAAACCACAACTTCAGTAACATTTTTACCTCCTGTTTGTCCGATGCGAGCAAAGCGAGGAGCAGAAGCTTCATTCAAGGCTCTTGAAGCCCCAATCTGGCAATCTTTGATAGCCTTTGACCTCATCCCCAACGGTGTATCCTCACACACTATGCCGTATCGAAGAGTCACTTAAGCCTCCGAAAACGATTAAATGCACTTGTGATGATGAAACAGTTCTTACTCGTCTCTCTGACTTCCATCATAGCAAAGCCGGTTTTTCCACACAGGAAGAGTTTGTCGCTCTCCTCAGGCCATTTGACACCGCCACCCTGATTGAATGCAAAATTATTTCTATAATGATAAAGGAAGGCTGCGAATAATTGAGGAGTTCTCTGAAAAAAAGGGCTTTTGTGCGAAAGTCTTAATTCCAGATAAAAAGCAAAATCTCCTCAGGGCTCACCTGCGACCAATCGGAATCCAGTTTTCAGCGACGTGGTATTCCTAGGCTGGTTCTGCTTTGAACTTAGGGCTTGAACTAAAATTTTTCTTTCAAGTTGCAGGGACTGTTTTCGTACCTGCGCCCCTTTCCCATATCCACACTATCAGGACTTTCCCCGTGATTTTTTCAGCTGTCATTTTCCATTTAACTGAAAAATAATTTGCCTCTCAGTTAACCTAAGGGTTAAAAAAAAAACCCTTCCTCAAAAAAACACAATGAAAATAAAAACATTCGGATTAGCTTTCATGAAAAAGCTAATCGAATGTTTTTTCTTCAAAGCACAGTCTTCAAAGAAGCACCACCACTATTCCGTTTTATTTTCCTGGAGTTTCCTATAAGTATGGATGACCAGTCGTTCTTTTCCCCCTTCCCTCCCGACTGGAGAGCATAGCGAGACAGCTAGACACTTGCCATCTAGTGGGAGCACGGAGAAATTTGTTTCTCCCTTGCTACAAGCACAACTGAACAATCTCAACATCGCTCTATCCTATTGCAACTGTTCTTATGGAAGACACGAGCATGGGTATGGAAAAAGGGGGTGTGGACACTCACGGAATTTTTCCAGAGAACTCCTCCATTGTAATAAACGTGGTTGACTTACTTGTTGTGCGTCCATGCTGCCAACTATTCGACCCAGTATAGTCGCGTTCACTCTTCCATCTCGGCCTTTGGGGGTTGGAGTTCCATTCGGGTTCACGGTAATGTTCATATATACCTCCAACTCGTCCAAGAACACTAAGTGCTTGAACTAAGATGAATCGAACATGTGATATTTTCCTGGCCAAAAATCGCGACTGCGATGAGCTGAGCAAACACGACGCACCATGACGTCGACGACCCCGTTCGGGGTAAGGACTTGCACGATGTCCTTGCTCGCCGTCACTTTCAGGTCTGGGGTGAGATAAGGAGGGAGGATGAACCGCACGGTGGCGTTGTTCACTTCTCGGTTGGAGGTATTCGAATGCCGGACGGTCGCCTTCAACTGGACCAGCGAACTGCAATCATAGAGTTCAATCGCGTTCAGACTCGATTCAATGAGGCTCCTAAGTTTGTTGAATCGTTGGTCAACGCAGCTTACTTTTTTGCGAAGGGACGTCCCTGGATTTCAGAAATTTGCAGAGCAGACTTGATATCAGGTCGTTCATATCCGCTCCTCCTGACCCAGATGGGCTGAATGGTGTCGTTGAAGAGGGACATCCCGAAGTTGGCCTCGATCGTCACATTGAATTCCTCTCCGTGCACGTTTCGAGGGTGATCAGTCAACATGACCTCGACAGCTATGGCTATCTTGTCGTCGTCTGGGCTGACTATGCCGATCCGGTGTGTTCGACCTGAAAGGGAGACGAAATCAGGCGTTCAGCCTCTCAAAGAAAGACTTTTCTTCATCTCTGTACCGCTTACCGATGTTTCTCACGAATCCGAATTGTATCTTCGCGACGTCCTTCTGCACCCGCTCGGTGATGTTCGGAGAAGAATAGAAAACGTACTCCATGTTGGCTTCAACAAACGGGACATTATGCCCAATGTGCAGAACTTGAACTCTGTGCATCGTGACTTGGGCTCGACCTTGGCTGGCTGGAGACTGCACCGTCACCTATGGATTCACATTCAATCGATTTAAAAATCGTGAATGCCAGAAATATCTGCTCTTCGATCATTAATTTTACCACAGGCTGCAGGGTGGCTCCATTGGGGATGGTGATGTTCATCACTATCCAGTCCCGTTCTGCAGGAAACAGGAAGAGGGAATGATCAATCTCTACTTTTGGCAATCCTACCCCAACAGGCAGTTTCAATGCGGGAGGCACATCAGTCGATGACAGGTTCTGAAAATAGTGTACAGAATATATTATAGCGATACGTTTTGCCGGATTGTTGTAACGTCGGAGTAGGTAACAGGAATACCAATGCAGAGACGTTGCTTTGAGAAATCAAGGTTCCGTTTTCGTCCCGAAGTCTTACTTGGGTCATCACAGTCTGGATCATGTCCGAGATGTTCTCCTTCACATTCATTGCGATTTCTGCCAAAATCTGCCAAAACAGAATCGCTCTTACTTTCCCGCTCATATAGAAATGTTCATCAGGTATGTCTAAAAACTGACTTGAGGGTTGCTTCCATTTCCGCTGTAAGTTCGAATCTCCTCAAAATTGAGAACCAACTCCTTCCTCTCCCTGAAAAGATAGATTGCTAGCATCATCAGACGCCATCGAAACCCAAGTGAGCATTAAGTCTCGACAGACGTGATGCCGTTGACTTCCTCGGAAGCGAAGACGCCCAGGTTCTCCGACAGAGTCTCCCTTCGACAGGGAACATTCGGATGAATGATCCTGGCCGAGGGACAGCAGAGGCTGTAATCCTCGACACCGGGAAGAGGATCCCACAAGGCAACGGCAAGCTTCGGGTACAGTTTCCCAGGAGGGAGTGTGATTGTGATCGAGAGCAGCTTCGTGTATCCTGGATGATAGGTATTGTTCCCGTCCAGGTCTTTCATCCCCCCTCTCATTCCCAGAGCATCCTGCATTATGAAATTCACATCGTCTCAGGTGTCTCAGCATTTATATGCATGCTACGTCGTATGAGAGGCATTTCTCTACCATCTGAGACGAATCCAAACGTGCGATGCTGATATTAGATGAAACTGAAACGTTTTCTGCCCCGTACCGAACTTCCACGCTGAATTGCTCTTGCTCAGAGGCGTCGAGCGTGCACATGCCAAGCACCTCCAGGTGAATGGCACCCAGCACCTCACTCGATTTGTATTCAGGTCCTGCTCGAATGCAAGCAGAAGCTCTGGCTCGAGAAATTTTCATTTACTGAGGGGATTCAGCATCTGCTCTATAAAGCACGACGTGAGGCGTCAACGGTACGATGGATCTGGGAGGTGGTTTCACAAGTTTCAATTATTCGGTTTGCAATGTCACGAAGAAGCGCGAAATATACTTTTAGAATCAGATTATTCCAGGTTCGGGCTGACAGAACCAGATGAAACAGGCTCCGCCAAGACTCACCCGTAGTGGCGATCAGGCCAAGATCGACCACCGATTCCGTGAAGTGTGGTCGAGAGGCGTTGGGGTGATACGTGGCTTCTAACGGCTTCAGCACGGGCTCCGTGCAAGGGAGGTTGGAACTCGCCCCTTTTATTCGAAGGCCGCAGATTTTCAAGCCTCTCTCGACGTCTGGGATTCTCACTGTCGCCAGGTACGTTCCAATGGTTCCCATCTGCAGCTGGAGGGTGATTTCTCCCGAAAAGTAGTCACCTGACCGAAAGACGAGGTAAACAGGTAGGAAACTTCCCCGGTCGGCATTCACAAGTAGCAGCATGAGGCGCAAACTGACCTTGCTTGGCAGCCATTTCGCTGGGCATAATCTTCGGAGGGTTACCATATATTTGCCCCAATTCTCCTTCCACGATTTCGTAGAACGGTTTCGCGTCGCTTTTGATGTTGAAGAGGGATAGCTCCAGATAGTCATCGAAAATGAGGGACTCCTCAACCTTGACAATCGCCCTCAACCTCGTTACATTCTTGGAACCTGGTGTAATTATCCAATGGAATCCCAATCATATCATTACAATAAATCATCCCATCATGATTCGTTCGGTTTATCTCACCGGTGGAGTCTTGCTTTGGAAACCCAGCAAACACATTGATCAGAAGACTGTGATCGACATCGTTTTCTTTCGTGAATGAGTCCTTTGAAGAAATGTTCGTTAAAGTCATGACTCCCATGTTCGTGAAATTCTTGTTAGATCTGGAGAGGGAGAGACCTCGTTCAGTCGGATGAGAAACATTCAAGAAAATGCAAAAAAATGATGAGGATCGCTCACGTCTTGCTCAAGACGGGATTTCCTGACACATTCTTGAAATTGATCTCGGATCCATGCTGTGTCAGCGCCATCTTGCACAATTCGATCTGAGGGCGGTCGTCTTCGTGCAAGACCAACAACGTGAGGTTTTTGGTCGAGTACCCCCCTGCAAAGAATTTCATCCGTATTTTTTTCACCCTCCAAAAGTATTGTTTTGAAAGGTGTGACATGACAGACACCGACCAGGAAATTTTATGTTGACAGCCAGCGAGGTCTGCGTGGTTTCGTACCATCGAGACGATGTCCCAGGACTCCGCGAGAACGTAACTTGGGGTTGCTACGGAGGATTTCATATTATCGTTTCTCTATTAGGCAAGGTAATATATTCAAACTAAGGTTGTAATGATGTTGAAATAGCCCATGTTGCGAAAAGATGTTTCACCTACTGGTACTTGATATCGGTAATCGATGATATTGATAATCGATAGCGAAGAAGCATCTAAGACCCGAATTGATATATGAGAGACTAATAATTAATTACTTACTCTGTGACAAATCGAAAGAGAGTTTGGTTTGATTGAATGGTTCGTAGACAGGTGCGACATTTTGTTTTGAAATCAGAATGTTACTTTGTTATAATTAACGGAAATATTCTTGTTCTTCATAAAGGTGTCAAATGATGTTATGAATTATGAATATTTAATATCTCGTTAGCAATATATCTAAAATCCACTACAGTTCCACATCAGAAATTTGACATCCCAACTCAGATGACGTCAGATGACTCACCGGAGAAGGGTCGAGCACGATAGTTAGTTCAATCTGGAAAAAGAGATATTCGAAAAGGAGCCCATTTTACGGAAATCCTTATTGTACTTGACATACTAAACTGCTTAATATTCTCTGCCAACTTACGGATCGGTTTTCCCGTCCAGGATGCGTTTTGACTGCTTCCATACTCACTGAGACTCCCTTCAATGACATTCTATTGCCCAAAGAGAACCGTGGGTAACGCTAGAGCGTTTCGGTCCGGGAATTCACAACCGAAGGAGACTTGCCTCGGGGGGTAGAAGGATCTTCCGACGCGGGGCAGCAGAGGCGTGGCGAAGCTGGAGTCGACGCAGAGCGTGTGGTCGTGGAGGATCGCCTTCACGTCGGTCACCTGGTATCCCATGCATTCCTCCTTTGCGCAGGGGGGGATGGACAGGAAGAAGGTCACGTTGTCGTAGGAAGAGTTGGCCGACAGGATTATGTTGTATTGAAGGGTCGTCATGTTTCCGTTCAATTCCTGGATCGCTGCATTTCTCGGGCTCCAGTTTTCCTGGGGAAAAAATTCCCAAATTTAGTTTTCGGCATATCGGATTCCAAATTAACCAGAAGGGAGAAACTGGCTGCCTAACGGTAGTCTTGAGTGTAGCAGAGTTCACTGAAAATTGAGCCGAGGCTGGGATACTTTTACTGCCGTATTCCAGCTCGATTTTCAAATCGACTTGTTTCGTGTTCATGAAGGGGACTCCTTTCACCCGGAATAAGATGGAGCCTCGATCGAGACTCGGTTCGTTGGTGACGTTCTCGGACTCTGATAACAATGAATATCGTGAGAAACAGCGCCAGCACCAATGTAGAGAAATGTGAGGAATTCATCTGCATTTCTCACCGATACTGGAGAGGAGCCCGAGATTCATTTCGGCCGAAACTTTGGAACCATTCTCTTTGGGATGATAAACGGCGATCAGATTTTGAAGCAATCCATCGGCACAAGTGAAATTGAGGGCGAGTTTCTCCAACGTGCAGATTCCCAACTGCGGCGCGCGCCCTTCGGATTCTCTCACTCTCAACTTGTAGGACCCGACGGAACCCGGGTGAAGTTTCACGAACACTTTTACCTGAAACTCCTCACCTGAGGATTATGAACTCTGTCGTGAGTGTTTCAAGGAATTGGGGCAAAACTATGTCAGTTAACTGACAGTAAGTTCTCAGATTTTCACAATAGAGTGGCTTGTGGACCTTCCAGGTGAGAAACACCACAATCCCATCAAGATCACGGCAGCGTGTACCCCTCACCCTGAAGTGAGAGGTACACTTTGTCATGGGAACACGGGACAGTTATTTAACAAGGACAAGTGAAAGCACAGTCCCAGACAGAGAAAATTAGTGAAATTGTGTGCCTTCACATGGCCAGTCCGGAATGCCATTGGTTAGATATCTGAAATCAGACCGTTCGGTTGGTTAGACGGTCTTTCACTCCGCTCCTCATTTATTTACTTTGTCATTGCTCGCCATTTTTCTCCTTACCTTCCACTGCATCAGATGGACTAACAACAGCAACGACCGGTTTGGGATCTGGCGGCTCGAGTTCCTTATTTGCAAAGGAATAGAGACCAGCAGGAGCCTCTCCCAGCGGAACGAGACTGACGTTGAGATCCTTGACCGGAATCCACCCGCCGGGGGAGGATAGGTTCGCGTGGATCTTCCCCGCCTCTCCGCGGGAGGGACCTGGGAGATCAGAACAGTCAGATTGCATCCACGCGATGGTTGGTTCCTTGGTTTTAGACTTCGCTTTGAACACGTGGGTTCTTAATGTCTCAGAGGCGGCAATAATGACCTTTGAAGAGCAGGAAGTACGCCGTGATCTCGACGGTGAGTACGTAGTCGGTGATGTTAAACCTTTGCAAGGCCGGAACAGGATCGGCAGATGCAGCTGGAGGGTGATTTCTCCCGAAAAGTAGTCACCTGACCGAAAGACGAGGTAAACAGGTAGGAAACTTCCCCGGTCGGCATTCACAAGTAGCAGCATGAGGCGCAAACTGACCTTGCTTGGCAGTCATTTCGCTGGGCATAATCTTCGGAGGGTTACCATATATTTGCCCCGATTCTCCTTCCACGATTTCGTAGAACGGTTTCGCGTCGCTTTTGATGTTGAAGAGGGATAGCTCCAGATAGTCATCGAAAATGAGGGACTCCTCAACCTTGACAATCGCCCTCAACCTCGTTACAGTCTTGGAACCTGGTGTAATTATCCAATGGAATCCCAATAATATCATTACAATAAATCATCCCATCATGATTCGTTCGGTTTATCTCACCGGCGGAGTCTTGCTTTGGAAACCCAGCAAACACGTTGATCAGAAGACTGTGATCGACGTCATTTTCTTTCGTGAATGAGTCCTTTGAAGAAATGTTCGTTAAAGTCATGACTCCCATGTTCGTGAAATTCTTGTTAGATCTGGAGAGGGAGAGACCTCGTTCAGTCGGATAAGAAACATTCAAGAAAATGCAAAAAAATGATGAGGATCGCTCACGTCTTGCTCAACACTGGATTTCCCGACACATTCTTGAAATCGATCTCGGATCCATGCTGCGTCAGCGCCATCTTGCACAATTCGATCTGAGGGCGGTCGTCTTCGTGCAAGACCAACACCGTGAGGTTCTTGGTCGAGTACCCACCTGCAAAGAATTTCATCCGTATTTTTTTCACCCTCCAAAAGTAATGTTTTGAAAGGTGATGACATGACAGACACCGACCAGGAAATTTTATGTTGACAGCCAGCGAGGTCTGCGTGGTTTCGTACCATCGAGACGATGTCCCAGGACTCCGCGAGAATGTAACTTGGGGTTGCTACGGAGGATTTCATATTATCGTTTCTCTATTAGGCATGGTAATATATTCAAACTAAGGTTGTAATGATGTTGAAAGAGCCCATGTTGCGAAAAGATGTTTCACCTACTGGTACTTGATATCGGTAATCGATGCAATTGATAATCGATAGCGAAGAAGCATCTAAGACCCGAATTGATATATGAGAGACTAATAATTAATTACTTACTCTGTGACAAATCGAAGGAGAGTTTGGTTTGATTGAATGGTTCGTAGACAGGTGCGACATTTTGAAATCAGAATGTTACTTTGTTATAATTAACGGAAATATTCTTGTTCTTCATAAAGGTGCCAAACAATACTGATGTTATGAATTATGAATATTTAATATCTCGTTAGCAATATATCTAAAATCCACTACAGCTCCACATCAGAAAATATCCGTCGATATCCACAATTCTTTGACATCCCAACTCAGATGACGTCAGATGACTCACCGGAGAAGGGTCGAGCACGATAGTTAGTTCAATCTGGAAAAAGAGACATTCGAAAAGGAGCCCATTTTACGAAAATCCTTCTTGTACTTAACATACTAAACTGCTTAATATTCACTGCCAACTTACGGATCGGTTTTCCCGTCCAGGATGCGTTTTGACTGCTTCCATACTCACTGAGACTCCCTTCAATGACATTCTATTGCCCAAAGAGAACCGTGGGTAACGCTAGAGCGTTTCGGTCCGGGAATTCACAACCGAAGGAGACTTGCCTCGGGGGGTAGAAGGATCTTCCGACGCGTGGCAGCAGAGGCGTGGCGAAGCTGGAGTCGACGCAGAGCGTGTGGTCGTGGAGGATCGCCTTCACGTCGGTCACCTGGTATCCCATGCATTCCTCCTTTTTGCAGGGGGGGATGGACAGGAAGAAGGTCACGTTGTCGTAGGAAGAGTTGGCCGACAGGATTATGTTGTATCGAAGGATCGTCATGTTTCCGTTCAATTCCTGGATCGCTGCATTTCTCGGGCTCCAGTTTTCCTGGGGGAAAAATTCTCAAATTTAGTTTTCGGCAGGTCGGATTCCAAATTAACCGGAAGGGAAAGATTGGCTGCCTAACGGTAGTCTTGAGTGTAGCAGAGTTCACTGAAAATTGAGCAGAGGCTGCGATACTTTCACTGCCGTACTCCAGCTCGATTTTCAAATCGACTTGTTTCGTGTTCATGAAGGAGACTCCTTTCACCCGGAATAATATGGAGCCTCGATCGAGACTCGGTTCGTTGGTGACGTTCTCGGACTCTGATAACAATGAATATCGTGAGAAACAGCGCCAGCACCAATGTGGAGAAATATGAGGAATTCATCTGCATTTCTCACCGATACTGGAGATGAGCCCGAGATTCATTTCGGCCGAAACTTTGGAACCATTCTCTTTGGGATGATAAACGGCGATCAGATTTTGAAGCAATCCATCGGCACAAGTGAAATTGAGGGCGAGTTTCTCCAACGTGCAGATTCCCAACTGCGGCGCGCGCCCTTCGGATTCTCTCACTCTCAACTTGTAGGACCCGACGGAACCCGGGTGAAGTTTCACGAACACTTTTACCTCAAACTCCTCACCTGAGGATTATGAACTCTGTCGTGAGTATTTCAAGGAATTGGGGCAAAACTATGTCAGTTAACTGACAGTAAGTTCTCAGCTTTTCACAATGGAGTGGCTTGTGGAGCTTCCAGGTCAGAAACACCACAATCCCATCAAGACCACGACAGCGTGTACCCCTCACCCCGAAGTGAGGGGTACACTTTATCATGGGAACACGGGACAGTTATTTAACAAGGACAAGTGAGAGCACAGTCCCAGACAGAGAAAATTAGTGAAATTGTGTGCCTTCACATGGCCAGTCCGGAATGCCATTGGTTAGATATCTGAAATCAGACCGTTCAGTTGGTTAGACGGTCTTTCACGCTGCTCCTCATTTATTTACTTTGTCATTGCTCGCCACTTTTCTCCTTACCTTCCACTGCATCAGATGGACCAACAACAGCAACGACAGGTTTGGGATCTGGCGGCTCGAGTTCCTTATTTGCAAAGGAATAGAGACGAGCAGGAGGCTCTCCCACCGGAACGAGACTGACGTTGAGATCCTTGACCGGAATCCACCCGCCGGGGGAGGAGAGGTTCGCGTGGATCTTCCCCGCCTCTCCGCGGGAGGGACCTGGGAAATCAGAACAGTCGGACTGCATCCACGCGATGGCTGGTTCCTTGGTTTTAGACTTCGCTTTGAACATCACCCAAGAATTACAGAGTCTCCGCCGTTATTACTGGAAACTTCTCGTCCTTCATGCGGCACTAGAGCTGCCACTCATGCATCAGCCACTACAATTTGGAAACGTTCCGGCCTTGTCCTAGCCGTCTAATGTCGCCTATTCTCAAGAATATCGATTCGGGGAAGGACTTCCTACTCCTGAAATGAATCGACCATATATTTGGGTTTCAATGAACGGCCAGCTCCTGCTAATTTAAAGTGGCTCAATGTATAGACGCGGCGTACGAATTGGAAAAGACGGCTGTCTTCTGGATTTTGTCAATTTCGATTCCTTTGAGGCGAAAAGGTCGACGTTACAGGTAAAACGTCTTGGTCTCCAGGCGATGGAGCGACAGCATGGTTTATTAACGTGAGTTCAAGAAGTAGAGCTTGGGAAACAGAGGCATGGTGCGATGCTCTCCCCTTTAAGACACTCTTTCCGAATTTCACTTCACCTTTATCAAGTCTGCCTCGACGAAAAAAGTTGCAAAACCTGGGAACTTAATGTCGAGGACGAGCGATGCTTGAGTTGTTTCATACCAATCTGGTCCGCTTCTTCGCCCAAGATAAAGTCTGGCCATCGGCTGTAAAAAAAAATAAATAAAATATAATTATAAAAAAATTTAAATTTAAATTTAAAAAATGGTGTGAAGACACAATCACAGACTAGAAAGAGGTTTGAATCGATTAAAATAACTTGCATCACTCACCTCTTCAGGTCTTTCTTTCAGAGTGAAGATAAGTGTCATCTCCACCTGCATATGATATCAGGAAGAATTCAGTACGAATATACTTATTTGAAAACTTGCTGATGAAGAGAGAACTCACAGTGATATTTTCCACGCCGAGGAAGGGCTGCAGAGACTTGAGCGACAGCGAAATCGCCTTAGGCTTCCCACTATGAAGGCGGAACCAAGCATTCATGTTATTCAGCATCGGCACGAGGAAAGGCTGCGAATATTCGTACGAGAACCCACGTGATCGAATCCAGTTCCTCAATCCCCCTGATGCCTCGGCGATCCTCCGTGATTGTGGCCGTGGAGCAGGGGACGTTGCGGAAGGTTACCGTCGCGTTTGCGGTCACGTTGAAGAGGAAGAGGATCGAGTCGTGGGTGTCCAAAATCTTGAGGGAAACGTCTGAATATGCGTGGTCCGAGGACAAATTGAAAGTTCGTTGAATCACTTGGTCCATGGTATTAATTGGATCCAGGCTCGGTGTGGCCATTGTCATCAACTCCTGGTCGGAAGACGTGCAAAATTATCAGCAGGGAGATTTATGCAAATTTGAAGATTCTTGTGGATCACGATTGGACATGAAGGTTGCCAAAATAGAGCTCCTTCTTTCTGACTACTACGACTATTGAAGGTATAACATTCCACTGTAGTTGACAAGATAAAAGGCAGCGTATACCGTCTTGGAATCCGTGAACGTTGAGCTTCAAGTACAGGGCTTCCTCGTCTGTAAGAATTCCCACGATGAGTTCCAGCATTTCCGCCTAGGGTGAACCTAAAGTCTAATAATAAAACCTGATAATTTGAACCTACGTATGTTGGACAGCAGCCCCAGGTCGAGAGTGTAGGAGTGAGAGGGCTTGAATGCGTCCCACGTGATGGAACCCGTATGCGTTTGGTTGGGCAAGACCGAAAGCGGCTGGGTGCATGAGAAAGGATTGTGGCTTCCGTCTGCAGATTCGATCCCGCAGAATCCGATTTTCCCGCCCTCTTTGTCCGACGCGTTGACCGTGATGGAGAAATGACCCACGCTGCCGGGATGGATCTTCAGGACCGCTTGGAACTGGAAGGTGCCACCTGAAGATCCAAATTGAACATTTTTGAACCGTTTCAAAGATTCAGCCATCTCCATCAAATCTGACCTGCCGAGACTTGCGTCGATTCGGGCACAACAAAGAAGCCTGCTTGGAACTGGAATGTGCCACCTGAAGATCCAAAGTGAAAAATTTGGAACCGTTTCAAAGATTCAGCCATCTCCATCAAATCTGACCTGCCGAGACTTGCGTCGATTCGGGCACAACAAAGAAGCCAGGTCCGAGAGCGTCAGGTTTCACACAGAGAGGAGCAACCTCGTAGAGATCCTGTTGGTTCTTATCCATATTGACCTTTAATGTAAAGTTTTTGGTCGGATGGGATGCATCACCGGGAGAGGTCATCATGGCCAAGAACGTTGCCGAATCGATATTGCATGGCTCTGAAAAAATTGCAAAAAATGAACGAGTAAACGAAGTGGCAGGAAAGAAGATGGGGAAAGTGAAACAGGAAGGAAAAGCTCACGTTCTGGACATTTCTGACTGGGGAATTCCAGGAGGAAATTCAATCTGATGTCGCTATCCTCCTCAGACGAGACATTTTTGAAATTCAGCGTGACCTTGCCGTCGTATTTGTTCTTCAGAGCTCTGAAAACATTCAATGGATCGGAAGACGATTATGCCAACGATTTCAACTCTCACAGAAGGAACAGCCGGGCAAACGAACGTTTTATTGTAGATGGCATTCCTGACGATGCTGTCCTTCCTCATTTGGACGTCCCTCAGACCGTCGCTGATGTTTGTGATGTAGACTCCGCAGATCTTCACATCCGTTTCGTTCCCGGCATAGAAGTCCAGCACCAACTCTTCTGAAGTGTATCCCTCTGCTCGACAGAAGAAAATCTCCATTAAGATCGATTCGCTGTCCTCCACTGGAGACAGGAGACACTTGCCTGGCAGCATGATTTCAAGGTCTAACGCCATCTGAGTGGTTTCGTACCAAGTGGGATAGGAGCAATTTTTCAGCTGAAAGTCCAGACGCGGCTGATAGGGGAGATGAAGTGCGTAACGATCATTTTCAGAAAGAAACAATTTGGGAACTTGACATTAATAGCAGATCTTTATAAACTGAAACTATATTTATTTTCTGTCTGCACGCCTCTAAGCTTTATCGGTAAACTTGAAGAATTCTCAATGCCGATCTTACGGTAAACGACGCTTTGAAGGTCAACTCCAAGTCAATCTGAAACAGATGGAGAGGATCGATGAACCAGCAGACCCGAGAGACTCAGCGATCCAAGTTGAAAAAATACTCACACGAGCTTCTCCTCTTGCGAAAGACTGGGTATGGATCGTCCCGAAGTATACCTCCAAAATATTCGGGTCATCCCTGGAGAGCAGAAAGAAGCAACATCGCCCGTCAGATAGAGCAGGTAAACGTCGGTGTCGGTGCGGTTTACACTCACGTGACTTTCACGACGGTTTGATTTGTGATGTTACGCCATATTGGGGACGCGAGTGGACAAGGGATGTTGGGGTCGAAAAACGTGGCAACGGCGCAACAGACTTCGAAACTGCGGAGACGCTCGCTTTGCAGACGGAGGGTCAAGTTTTCGGAAGAGATACCAGGGGGTTTGGGGACGCGAGTGGACAAGGGATGTTGGGGTCGAAAAACGTGGCAACGGCGCAACAGACTTCGAAACTGCGGAGACGCTCGCTTTGCAGACGGAGGGTCAAGTTTTCGGAAGAGATACCAGGGGGAATTAGCGGAACGGTGAAATTCTTCTTGATCTCACGTTCCTTTTTCTTAAAGTCTTGAATGGACTGATTGAAAGAAGGTGGTTGGGCTTGTGTCTAGCGGAGAAATAATCAATTAAGGATTTCTCAACCATTTCTTTCAACTTCCAATCTAAAATTGTTCCTTCTGTGAGTTAATAGAGGATCGGTTATGCCATAATGCATCATGTTACTATAGTGCACAACATATAATGCTGCATGATTTTCACTTCTGAAAGGGGATAGATACTCTGCGTTCAAAACACTCTCTGTACTTCCTTACAAACGCCCCAACCCGCGCAAAGAGATTGACTCAACTTGGCGAAAGAATGTCCAATATTCATCAATTCAATATTCAAATTCCAATATCCGTCAAGTTGAGTTAAAGTTGAAAAATATTGAATCAGGTCTCAAGACAAATGGGACATCGAATTCATGTTGTCCAATATACCGTGTTAATGTTACATAAACATGATCTCGGCATGCAGCCACACCAAACGTCGCCGTAGACTCAAAATTGATAGGAGACGTGTCTCTATGTTATTAGGACATCAAATTACGCTAATGTAATTAGGTTAATTGAAGTCCTTTCTCTCCATCCTCTGGGTCAGAATTACACAGAGTCTCTTTGGGCTCATTCCTTCGTCGAATGAATTGATAAGTTTCAGTGTCTTCCTGTGTGTCGTCTGCGAGAAAACGATCAAGTACCCCATGGAAAAGTACTGTCGACTTAATCTATAAGTCGCTGCATAGACGATTTAAGAGCCATCTCTCTTTGGTGGCGGGAACTTGAGCTTCAAAATTACTCGCTTCGACTACATCTTGATCCATCCACGGGACGCGGAGCCCTCAACTGGAGCGCTGCGAGAATTCAAATTTATGGTAATCTTGTGACCTATCTTACTTTCATCATCGAGAAAAAGTTGACCATCCATTGGACCGTAAGTATTGCATCAACACATTCAACAAGTAATTAACAATGAGTTGATATTAATGTGCGGACTGGGGCATTTCCATTAACATTTATTTACTAGGATTTCTCGTGCTTCCATGTATCGTCATCTATGTATCATCATTGAGGCACGAAATACAAAT